GTTTTAGTGAAAAATATGTTTACATACCTAAAGTGGAAAAACAGCTCCTATTGGAACCTCGACTGAGCTGGGTGGCATACGTTTTTGTAGAAGGCGAAACCGGATTTGCCTCTTATTAAACTGATTTAATTACTTTAAAGAAGGCTCTAAGACAACTGAGGCAACATTCAATAAAGATTCGACCAGTTAAGATAAGACCTCGGTAGCATAAGGTCAAATAAGGCAAGCCACAAGAAAGACTAAACCAATTGATGATATCACAAGCATCCAGACGTGATCTTAATACGAGTACTACGATAAAATCGATAAAATGCGTGGATGTTTTATTGTCATTTTCATTTGTTAGAACTTTTTTAAGCCATGTTTTTATGTGTTTTCGATATTTCAATAATTTTTTAGTATAATCTTAAAATATGTCGAATATTATAAACTTAAAAAAAGTTACTAAGTTTTATATTGTGTACCGTTCCTAATATTTCTAATCATTTTAATTCATACTTTAAGCTTTATAAAGTTATAATTTGTTAATATTAATATTTGCGCGTATTTCAGGTTCCTGGTCATTCATTTTTTAAAGGTTTATAACTTTAAATTAAATTGTGAAGCGCTGAGTAATCATACGACGTTCAATATTCTTTCTTTCAATATGACTAAATAATCCCAATTATAGCAATCTGATACTCATGTCTCAATGTTTTTTCGCTGAATGTGATGAAAACATTTGAAAAAGGTTCGCTTATTGAAATAAATCTACACCAGTTACTTCGATTTCCAGGTAAAGGGAAAAGGCTCATTATCTGCCATATTGGCAGTGAGGATGGATTTGTTGTTGACGGTCTGTGGTGCTTTGAGTCTAAGAAAACTGGAGATTACCACGAGGAAATGAATGGCGAATCGTTTGAACAGTGGTTTTCAAAAATTTTACCGAACTTAGAGGAAAACGCAGTAATTGTGTTGGATAATGCGCCTTATCATTCTCGAAGAATGGAGAAGGTCCCAACAACGGCTTCAAGGAAAGTTGATGTTCAAAATTGGCTCCGCTCGAAAAATATCAACTTTGAAGAAGCAATGCTGAAAGTACAATTATTAAGAATTGTCAAGGATCACAAGGCGGAATATCAAAAATACGCCATTGACGAAATGGCAGCAAGTCAAAATAAAACTGTGCTCCGTTTACCTCCATACCATTGCGAGCTCAATCCCATTGAGCTCATATGGGCAGAGGTTAAAAATTATATAGCTAAGCACAATACAACTTTTAAATGTTGTGACCTCAAAGGACTTTTCAAAGAAGCACTAGAATTAATAACAGCGCAAAAATGGGAAAACTGTATTAAGCACGTGAAAGACAAAGTTGAAAAGAGAATGTGGGAACTGGACAATATTTTAGAGGAACAAGTCGAGCCATTCATTATTGACGTTGGTGCTTCAGGCAGTAGCGATGATGAAAGCTCATCAAGCTCATCTTTCCAATAAAAGATGTCGTTCATCAAATTCGGTAAGTTATAAGTAATTATAAAGCTAGTGTATTTTTTAATTAATTATTGACATTTTTGAACCCATTTTGGCAAAACCTATACAGGAATCTACTTTCTGACAATGTTCAACCATGCACATTTTTTTACGTTTTGAACGTTTTAATTTGGTTACATATTTACCTAGAAATCAAAAAATATACTAATCAATATTCTAAAAGCAATTTTAAGAGATATACGATTATTTTTAATTTAGGCTAATTTAAACGCCATTTTGAGATTATATTCGACTGTATTTCACCAAACATCAGGCGACATCCGAAGCTGGAAATCGAAGCGAAAATTTTGAAACCCTTATGTATATTTACATCATTATATATTTCTTACCCCACCCCCACATGATCCTATATCCATCACCAATCGTATACACATCGAATTGTGCTAATTTACTACAAAGTTACGCAAACTACTCTTAATACGTCCCTGCCGAATGTTACAGCGTTCGACGATCACGTGGTCTTGTTTATGTCCGGTCTATCTCTTATCTGAATAATACTGTAGACCATATCTTCTTCGTCACATCTTGTCCACAAATATAGTCGATAGACTATATCGGCAGCTTGCAATACACAAGGCATGCTGACGAAATGCCAGTTGCAGCATCTTAGGAAACATGGTCGTACAGGCATACCTCCATAGATGGCGCTCACAGCGAGTGAGCGCGGAATGTGCTAGTTAGTACATACGTTTTCAACTTTATACATAATCGAGTTTTAATGTATTCTAATTACTTCTACACTAATTTATATAGCTTGTACTAATTTATGACAATTTATATCCCATGCTGACTGCACTACAGTTTCCGCTTCATGTGGTGTAAAAATGTATGTTTGTTATGTAATACATCTATTTCTATATAAAACGGGGAATATCGAGAGGCACTATGAAACTGTACATTAGAATTTTGAAAAATCATTCCCATTACGATCTGCAACCAGAACGGAAAAACTGAAACAATTAAAAAATCAGTTAATTGGCAAACAGACAATGGTTTTAAAATCAATCTAAAAAAGTAAGGCTGCAACTGAAGCATACCGAGTGTCCAAGATATACTAAGTGACATATAAATCCGAACACCCAGTTTAAATGGTTTTATTTTAATAAAAGTTGGTGAATGTATTTATCTTACTGTAAATAATAAGTGAAAAAATTTTCAGCCTTATCAGTTGGACATTCCGGTTTTTATACTGCTTTTTTTAATTCACTAACGCTCTAAAAATGAATATTTCAGCCGCAGTAAAGAATCAACATTGGCGGATTTTGGTTCTTGACATCCTTTACGATCGGTTACGATGCCTAGAGTACGGAGACCTGTACGATTTCGTCAACTTAGTGAGTTTGATAGGGGCCGTATAGTGGGACTTCGGGGAGCTGGACTTTCTTTTCGGGCAATTGCAGTTAGAGTGCAAAGAAGTGTAGACACTGTGGTTAGGTGTTGTCAGGCATGGCTTCGAGAAGGCCGTACGCAAAGAGCAAGGGGCACTGGACGCCGCCGTAGAACAACAGACCGTGAAGATCGCCGCCTAAGATTATTGGCCTTAAGGGACCGTTTCTCCACTACCAGGTCCATTGCAAATGAATGGTTTGCAGAACACGGAAGACCTATTGGCATGCGAAGTGTTTACCGACGAATGAGAAGTTTTGGCTTGTTTTCATACCGGCCACACTGGGTCCTCCCTTTAACTCGAGAACACCGACGTACTCGCCTTGAGTGGTGCAGACAATGGTCACTCTGGGATCAGGAATGGAACAGTATTGTCTTTAGTGACGAGTCTCGATTTTGTTTAGGCATGCACGATGGTCGTGCTAGGGTTAGAAGGCGACGTGGTGAAAGGAGGAATCCACAGTTTTTTGTTGAAAGACATGTTCATCACACTGTTGGAGTTACGGTTTGGGGTGCTATAGCTTATGGTTCCAGGTCATATTTAATCTTCATCAGAGGTAACATGAACGCGCAGCGTTATATCCACGAAGTTCTAGAACCCCAGCTTTTACCTTATCTTGACATCCTGGCAGATCCAACTTTCCAACAAGATGCCCGACTACATGTTGCAAGAGTCACAATAGACTTCTTTCAACATAATGATGTCACATTGTTACCATGGCCTCCATGATCTCCCGACTTATCCCCAATTGAGCACGTGTGGGATATGATGGGTAGGAGATTGCTCAATTTGCAACGTCCTCCTCAGACTCTAGAAGCACTTCGAGAGGAGTTGGTGGTTGCCTGGAATGAGATACCACAGGAGGACATTGACCACCTGATCAGAAGCATGCCTAGGCGCGTAGAAGAATGCGTAGCACATCAGGGTGCATCCACACATTATTAAAGGTCAAAGGGCTTTAAAGCAGTGCAATCATTTTGAAATTTTTATCATTTACTTATTATGCTTCATTAAGTACTTATACAAAATTTTATTAAAATAAAACTATTTAAACTGGGTGTTCGGATTTATATGTCACTTAGTATATTTTGAGAGAGAGAGAAGAAACCTTATAAAGACTGCATAAAGCTGCAGATTATTTGCCAGCTTTAGAAATAAAGACGAGATAGTGTCTGCTATAAGATCTATGCAACTTTCTGCTAATACAGTGATGAGACGAGTAGAAGTAATGAGCAATGATATAGTTTTACAGTTGAAAAAAGACTTCGATAACTGTGCTGATTTTTCACTGCAGCTGGATGAATCCACAGATGTCGTTGACACCTCTCAGATGGCCGTGTTCGTCAGGATGGTTTTGGTGATTTTAGGATTAAAGAAGATCTTTTGAAGTTTATTCCACTAAAAGGACAGACTACTGGGCAGTACTTGTTTTCTTCTTTTAAAAATATTATTTCTTCTAAGAAAATTCCAATATCGAAAATAGTACGCTTGACAACCGATGGCGGTCCAGCTATGATGGGTCGTGATAAGGGTCTCGTGGGGTTATGTCGTAAAGATGAAAGCTTTCCGCGATTTCTCTGTTGCCACTGCAGCATTTCAACGTTCCTTTGCATTTCTTGCAGTTAAAATGTGGAACAGTCTAAATAATGATGTAAAGGTAATGTCGCAAAGAGTGTTCTCAAAATATATAATGGCCATGCTTCTTCAGGATCAATAATGCAATAATGAGTGTGATTGTGCACGGATACTTGTTGTCAAGTTTATTATTTCAAATTTATCTTCTTATTAAGATGGAGCAGCGAGCATCTGATGATAGATGTTGTATGTGTGTGTAGATGTATTTCGGTGTTGTTAACTGAATGAGGGTTCGTCGGTGTGGCTTCGTGTCTGTTGCTTTCTACCGCTCTTCGCCCCCTCTCCGGTGCTCCCCTCCCATCGGAACGCTGACTTTTTAAGTGAGTAAATACATTTTTTTTTCTTCTGCAATATCAATGGTTCATGCTCGTAATAAATGAAGTCATTAAATTCCAAAATATTGTTTATATATTATATATGTAACTTAGTGTAACACAGGGCATTTCTCCCCTGCAATGGCAAAACGCAGTAACTCAAGTTACTAGGTTTTGGCTTTGTAGCGCCAGATGGATTGGTCACCTTCCGAGCTATTTGCTACTACAAATAACTTTATTATAGGCCAATTAGAATCATAGATACAGGCATAGGAGGAATCGTATCTCCCACAGTTTTGCTGGAATTACTAAATCAAAAAACTGCATTTGAAGTTGCTGGTATCTGTTCGGTTATTTTACACAGTCATGCGCTGAATGCTAAAAGAAAGCAACGTATCTGCAGTTGCTGTGTTTTGGAATAGCAAAATGTTCTGTTATTTGTCATATACTGCTACGTATCTCTAGTTGCCCTATTTCAATATGGTAAATGCAGCACAAATTTGGCAACATTAGTAGGAGTTAGTTTTGCTAACCAACAGATATATCATTTGTGAGTGAATCAGTTAAAAACGCATTGTATAAGTTCCAAAATCATGAACACACGAGGAAAACGTTTGGTACAGATGGCCCTGAAAAGGTAAGTTTAAAACTTGACTGTAACTAAGCTCTGTTTTTCAAATCCGTGAATATGCTAAAAATATAGCATAACCTCACTCCCATTTCATAATTCCCAACGGCTGCTTTGCCGATCCCATAGCTATTGCAACGTTGTCAGACTTGTAATAACAGAATAGAAAAAGTAATAACTGATCAATCGTATTTCGAGTTGAGAAGAAACCTGCTGTAATTCATTGCATACCCAAAGATTAAAAAAAACTATTGGAAGCTTAAGTATAAACCAACTAGGTATTTGTTATTTCATTCTGTTTCATCCTAGTTTCACTAACATTTAGAGAGGTAAACATGAAAATGCACGAGTTGTAATGGTTTGATTGGAGCGTAGTTTAACTATGACCAAGAAATTTTTGCGAATAGCCTAAAATGGACAAAAGTATATTTTTCAGGTCGCTACCTGAAGAAGTCGATTCCGACTCAGAAGTAGATGATTCTGATCTTGATCCAGACTTCGACCCAGCTCTGGAACACCCTAAGAAAATTAAATCTTATTTTGGTCCAGAGGACTTGCTCCTTGATATTTCGAAAGTCCATAACGAGACAACACCAACTAATCCATCTACGAGTAGCTTGAACGATAAACCTGTTGTTAGTCATTTGGGTGACCTTCCAGAAGTCTCCTCTCTGGTCGCAAATAACAATGAAGATGCTACTGAGTTGTATTTACGTGATATGCTTGAGGCAGCATTACAATCAGTTTTTGAAATTGTTGAAAATCCGAATAAGAAGATGAAAAGACTTCGCAAAGAGAAAGAGAAAGTGAGAAGGAACCTCGAATCACATAAGCTGCTTCCTCCTTGCTTGGAATCTTGTCGCAAGCATTGCAGTACAAAAATTGATGAATATTCAAGGCAAAAAATATTAGAGAGCTTCTGGAAATTGAATTTTTCTCAACGAAGGTTGTATTTGACAGCATATGTTAAAGAAGAAAACGTCAAAACTAGAACTACCCAGGGAAACTTTTCTAAAAGAACCTCCACGTTAAAGTACTACCTACCTCAATATGGAGAAGATTCTCGATCAGAACTCAGAGTCTGCAAAACAATGTTTCTTCATACTTTAGGACAAAGAAATGATTCCATCATCACTCAACATCTGAAAGCTAGAAGGAGAATAGACAGCAATGTAGAAATCAAAGATAGAAGAGGAGAATCAGCTAGAAGATCTGCGCAAATTCAAAAGGCTATGACAGATACCGTAATCGAGAACCATGTAAACTCTTTCCATCCATATGTTTCTCATTATAAATTAGACCATGCTCCCTTACGACGATATCTTTCACCTGAGATAAATATTTCGCTTATGTGGAGAGATTTTTGCACGAGCAGACAAAAAATATCATACGAGAAGTATAGACAAGTTGTTGATAAGCTCAATATTGGCTTCGATCATCCCTCTCAGGATGATTGTGGAGTTTGTAGTAAGTACTCAATTCATAATGGAGAAACAGCTGTTGATCTTAGTCATAATCCTGCCGCATGTGAAACTTGTATCAAGCATAATGTGCATAAGACACACTACACTTCAACTAGGCGTGCTTACAAGGAAGATAAAGACCGTGACTGGCAAAGAGGAATTGAAATTTATACTGTAGATCTACAGAAAGTTCTGCTCCTTCCCAAGATGACTACTAAAGAGTCATTTTTCATACCGAGGCTAGTGACTTTCAACGAGACATTCGCTCCCTTGCACAAAGATGATAATAAGTGTTATGTCTGGCATGAAGCTACTAGAGGACGCAATGCTCCAGATATTGCCTCAACGTTCTATCATGTCATTAAAAATTCTAACCCAAACGTTATGTCTTTTATCTTTTGGATGGATAACTGCTCCGCCCAAAATAAGAACTGGACGTTGTATACAATGTTTGCCTGTTTGGTGAATGCAGATTGGGGACCGGAAAACATCATTGTGAAGTACTTTGAGCCAGGACATTCTTTTATGAAGGCTGATTCAGTACATGGACAAATAGGACGCGAGTGGAGAAAGCGTAAACAAATATTGGACGTTAATGATTTTGTTGATGTGATAAATGCATCGTCTAAGAAAAATAAACCAATAGTTATGCGTCACAGTGATTTCTATCCTTTTATCGATGGCTCCAAACAACGCCGTAAAAATATATCTGGGGAAGTAAATATTCCGCTGTTAGACCAAATCAAGATTGCCGAGTTCAGAAAAGGTTCCAGGTCTCTATTCTACAAAACATCGTTTGATGAGACTGAATACGCTGAGGCGAACTTTTTAAAGAGTAAGTTTGATATAAATCAGCAGCCTGTAGCTTATAGTAATGATAGAGGGATCAACACAGCAAAAAACAAAAAATAGTTGAAGAACTATGTCCTGCGATGGAATCCAGAAAACAACTATTTTGGAGACAATTACCAACAAATGATGATGTTCCTGATCTTTTATGTCGATCGGGAGAATCTGCATAAAAGCAACAGCATCCTGGATTTTCAAGAATACTAATTCGCAGCCCCTTAAAACTGTATAGAATCGACAACGATCTTGAATTCCAATGTGAAAAACAAGTAACTTTATTTACTGTAGTATTTACTTGTTGTATTCTATGACAATAAAATTTCCAAACAAAGTATCTAATTTAACTTTATGAAGACAGTTTTTAAACAAGAATTGTTTCAATGGATGGAAAGGGCAAATTTTTGTCCTTTACAAAAGGCTTTTTCTACTATTAGTGACTTAAGTCTACTTATCGGCTTGAGTAGAAATGTTCTTCATTGATTTCTGTAAAAGTCACAAAAACAAGTTACTATCTTTTGCCATTGCACGGGAGATTTTCACACCCACCCTACTTATGTAAGGCTGAGTGTTAACGGTCATTTGATCGAGGATTTGTCCTTTTTGCCAAAAATATTAAGTGTGTGTATTTTCTATAATACGGTAAATATAATGTTTCTTTTTTTGTTTTTGTTTTTTGGCAAATAAATGTATTTTGAATTATAATTTGAATTATCCATCAACAAGCATTATGTGGATATTTTGTAAAACTAAACAACGTTATGAAATTGGTCAATCCGGGGAATTACTTCTTCACTCTGAAGTCCGATTGTTAAATAGGGGACGAGTGCTGAAACGTTACCATGATATCATATCTGCCACAATTTTTCAAACAACGTGATGAACCGATTCCGGAACTGGAAAATTCAATCTGGTTTAGAGATTTTGGTTTTCTTGTGGATACTACAGAAAAATTTAATTAACTTAATTTGCAGGTTATAGGAAATAGCAGAAATGGTTTCTGATATAAAAGCTTGAGTTTTGGGAACAAAACTTAATCGATGGCAATAGCAGGCATTTCCTGTTCTTTCAGAAAAGATATTTCAAAGTTCATTAGAACCATATGACAGTAAGTATCATATAGAAATAGTCTCTAGCTTAAAATATAACTTCAAAAATCGTTTCGACGATTTCAACGAAATTGCTATAGTGGCACAATTTGTTGTTTCACCCTTCATAGAAAATTCAACAGTTTGCAACTTCTGTTACGCAGAATTTTAGCGGCGACATCGCTGCGACAGAAAGGGATGTCATTGCGTATCAAAATGATGAAAGCGTTATGTAATCCAACCTATTTGTGTGAATCTCCTTTTTCAAATATGAAGTTTATTAAAGACAATTACCGCAATCGACTTACAGATGAACATCTGGATAATTATTTATTATTATATTTATTATATTTATTCAAATGGCGGTATCAAATTATACGCCAAAATTGAAAACATTGTCAGTTAGTCTGAGTGTCAGGTTTCTCATTGAACACGCATTAAAATAGTGCGTTTTTTTTTATTTTTATTTACCTTTATTAAATCGTATGTGACATGCCATTGCAGCTGACGGAAAATTTTGTTTATTTTTCAAACACCTACGATTGGTAGGAAAGGATATAGTTATGTAGCATGTATTACTTATTATTATTATTTAAGTTTATTAGTATGTATTAGTATTAGTAAAATAGACACATGTATGCTGCATACAACTGTGTATAATTTCATTTAAGTTGCCTTACATTGCTTACGACTAAGTAACTCACTGTTTATTCCAAAATTATCAAAGTAGCCCAACATACTGAAAAGGTTGGCGGCCACTGCTCTAAGAGAATATAAGCCTAATAAAACAAATATACAATGTAGCTTCAACCGTGTCAAAGTTTCATACCAACCACAAGATTCTACGCGAGATACAAAAATACATGCCACAGAACAAGAAACGCGGCCATGTAACTTTCGCAATATTTTTTATGATGGTTGTAGAACACAGCCGAGGGCCGTATTTCATACGGGAGGACAATCTGGCCGGGGAAACCCTGGAAAATTTATGACCGCAATTGATTTAGAGCGCCATCTGTACGGGTGCTGGGGAAACGCCACGCATTTTAATGGCCTCTTTCTGATCTGAACGGTGGACGCGTGGTTGTTTCTTTTTGTTAATTAAACCGATAAAAGGGCAGCGTTTTGTTTCTGGAAATGAGGAGGGAAAAGACTAACAATCGTTACATAAAATTGCCAACAGTTAGATTTAAAAATAGGCATGTTTGCTGTGATCTAGTAAAGAGATGCCAGATTGCTTTATCACGCTTTTATACGGGGAGGCTGTGCAGGTACCTGAACTGGAGGCGCTGATTGATCAAGTAAGCAATTTGAGGTTAGACAATATTCAAATTGCAGGCAAACATTTCTGTTTTTTTTTTACTAATTTAAAGCGTATGATACTTCGCATAGAGACCTAAGGGTTAACTAGCTTTGTGATGGCATACTGTTTTTGGGAATAACATCTGCTCCCATAGAGTTATACATCGAACTTTTCGCAGGTGCTACGGCAGAGAGCACTGATGATAAAGCAGCTATTTTTCTTTTGTTACTGAACTACAAATTCTCGAGTAGGTTATGTAAGGTTATATAGTAATTTACAGGTTATAGAAATAATTTTTGTTTTCGTGAAGTTATATACAGAGAGAATAATAATAATAATTATTATTATTATTAATAATAATAGTAATAATAATAATAATAATAGTAAGGTACACAGAGGCATACCAGAAGCAGACGAGAACATTACCCCATTAAACCTTACGCAAAGTAGCGATAGAAAGGAAATAAGATCATACATGCAGTTGTCAGAAGAATGGTTAACAAAGCCCCTACATGGAAAATTCTAAACATCAATTTAAGGAGAGGAGATGAACAAGATATATATATACACGGGTGGCTGAAAAACGGTAAACTGTATCGAGAAACTGAAGGTCTTATGATAGCAATACAAGATGGGATCGTCGCAACCAAGAATTATTAAAAATACATACTGAAAGATAGCTCTATCCAAAATGGTCTGTGTAGGAAATGAAAAATGTATCAAGAAACATATCATATAACCAAAGGTTGCCCAGTCCTCACAAAATCAAGATACAAAGAAAGACATGATAACGTTGGGAAAGTTCTACACACATACCTAGCACTTAAATGTAATTTAACAAGTGAACTAACACCATATTAGAAATATATACCATATCGAAGATTAGAAAACGAGTGGAAAATATACTGGGATAGGAGCATATACATAGACAACAGTAGAGTGCAAATTGAGGTGGAATTACACAATAAACCAGGTATGTGTGTAATGGATAAGAGGCGCAAAATAGCGACGCTAATAGATTTTGCCATCCCAGCAACACATGTCACATAAAATCACCAAAACAAAATAGGTAAATATATCAACCTGACCACGCTCTTAAAGAGTACACAGGATATCAAATATCTAAAAATAATGCCTATCATAATATCATCTACGGGCGTTATTCCGCAAAGCACCGTCGATGGAATAAGAGAGTTAGGTATAAATGAAAATATCATCAAGATCGTGCAGAGGGCAGCAATACTCAGTACCTGCGGGATCGTGAGGGAAGCACTAAATTTGAAAGAATAGATAACCTGGAATACATGCCCCTGTGAAGGCCGTCAACAGGCAAGGGACCGGTACAGCGACCGAGAGACCAGTAAAATAATAACAATAATAAAACTTGTTGAAAATTACTACTGTACCTGTATACAATACCTGTGGGAGATATTCTTAGGTTAAGTTAGGAAAACGCTGCGTCCTTTGGGGCATATATACATGCGGTTGAGAAAATTGGAAAAATCTTGTACATTTTTTATAAATTCATTATACAAGCTATCAAAACACAATGGAACTTTGGCACTTCTAAGGTACTACATGATGATGTTTTTAAATTTTGAGCCCGACGTTTCGTTTTTGAGAAACCATCAACAACTTTATTTTTTCATATGGTCCGAAAAAAAGTTTATTATAGCATATTTTCCTAGGAATCCAACAATGTCTCACCTGTTACATTTGTTTTCTTGGTTATAAAAAAAACTGTTTTTTTTATTTTTTCGTTTTATTTAATTATCAGGTAACCAAATAAGTGCGGTGTTTAGTAGAAACATATAAATTTTTATTGAGAAACAATAAGACACAATTTATTCGTCGAAGTAATTACCATCATATTCAATGACCTTTTGCCAACGTGGAACCAATTTTTTATGCCGGTATTGTAGAAGTCCCTGGATTTGGAGTCAAAAAATTGGCGGACTGCATTTATTACACCATCTCGAGTTGTGAACTGTCGATGCCTCATACAGTTGTCCCTTTGCGGTATGAGGCTTGGCGTTATCCTGCAAGAATATCACTTTCTTCCGATTTATCAAAGAAGGCTGTTTCTGGATGAGTGCTGCTTGTACTCGTTGAAGCTGGTCACAATACAAGTTGGCAGTGCTGGTTTGACCCGTTTCCAAAAACTCATAATGGACCATTCCAGTTGCTGTCCACCATACAACAAAACCTTGTTTGGGTGCAAGGAAGCCTTGGGCGTGTGTTGTACCGAATAAGTAGGCGACAACCAATGATACGAACGCTTAGAATCCGCATACAAGATCCATTTTTCGTCGCAGGTTAATGCCCGATTAAGAAATGGTTCATTAGCGTTTCGTGAAATGCTTGCTGAACAAATGGTAAGACGACTTAATTTGTTACCATTTGTCAGTTCATGTGGGACCCACTTGCTTAACTTCCACGTCTTTCCTAGCTGACGAAGATGCAAACGAATAGTTTCAGGACTCACTCTGAACATTTCTGCAACTTCTTGGCACGTTGTCCTGGAATTTGCGTCCACAACCTGTCGAAGATCACATCAATGAACAACATCCATGGCAATGTGCGATATACAGCAACCGCACGAACTACTTTGGTCACCTTAATTTACCTAGTTGATATTTAAGAGTTTTCTACAGCAGCTTGTGAAACAATATTCT